GGCCGAGCTTCCCCCGCAGGCGGGCAGGGCCCGGAATGCTGAGGAGCCCTTGGCTTTCAGGGGAAGTTGCCCGCAGGCAGCGCTGCCAGCAGTGCTGGCACCTCTGGGCATTGTCAGAGCCAGAAGGTGATGGTCAGCACGGCAGTCGGTGGTTTGGTTCCCCTCTCCTGTCCGTACCCCGGCAGTGTCTCGGTAAGACACTGAGCAGGGCCCCAGGCCAGGGCTGGGGAAACCAGAGTTGCTGCTGATGTGTCTTTGTTCCTGTCGTGATCGATAACTGGACTCTGCTCAGGTGACGAGGGTGGGAGCTCCGGTACCGAATGCTGTGGGGTGTCTGCACGTGGGTCTGGCTCTTCCTGCCTTGCAGGCAGCTCGTCCAGGCTTTGCACTGTGCTTCCCTGCAGAAATAGTGATATTTATCTTCTAATTAAATGGTGTCATTTGGATTCAGTTGTCACCTGTGCTGGAAACTCCCATATTTACTCTCAGAAAGACCTGCCCTGTCTTGTTTAGTCTCTCAAACAAGGTTTTGTTTTAGTATTGCTTTTAATGTCCATTTTAATGTCCAGCTTGGCTATTCCAGCTATTTCTTTCCCTGAGTTTTGTCCTTCCCTGTGCTGGGGAGTTCACGCCACTTTCATTGCCTTCAGCAATCCATCAGGATTGTCCTCAAACCAAACATCTTTTGTTTTGAAAGACTATCTGCTGGCATGAGACACTGACTTGCCTGATTCTCAACTATTCTAAAGGCAGCCTGTGCCACAGTGTTTATTCAGTATAATGATGTTTGTGTGGTGCTGGACATGAGTATTTGGCACCTCTTAATGTGTATTCTGAAGTTAAAAACGTGACTTTACACAAATGCACTTTTTTTCTAGGGCTGTAGCTGTTTATTTAAATATATAAATGGAGCTATTTATGTTAGTGTTTCACTCAGAGTAGTTGAGAGGTTGCAGGAAGGATGCAGCTCCTTTACTGTATGTGCAAGAAGGTCTTCAGCTGTACCCCGAAGTAGGTAGAAATGGTTTCTTGCATAGTTCTGCCTTCCACATAGCACTTGCTGCTTCAGAGCTTAAGTGGTGTGTTTCAAAGGCATATGTGATTAAAGTGCTTTATGGTGTGAGAAAGTACATGCTCTGTGTAAGATTTCTGGCAGTTCTTGTATTTATTGGTCTCTTAGTATTGGGTTTTGATGAACTGGAATGCCTAAGTAGTTGTTACAATAGATGGAGAATACATTTTTCCCCACTCTATAAACTTTACAGTACAGACTCTGCTTTTCATTTTAGCTCCCAGGGTTTTTTAAATTTGGAGACTTTATATCAGAATTAGTGTCAGAATTATGAAGGTAGCAACAATGCTGAAGTTGGTGATGGCAATATCCACCCTGTGCTTAGAGGGGACAGTTGTTTACAACATTTGGTCTCTGAAGAGTTAGAAGAACCATGAATTACTGACATGCAGTGGAAGTTGTCCAGATAACTAGTAAATTATTATTAAGCCCTAGATGCCACTGTTTAATGCTCAGACAACTTCAGTATGTAATGTAAGTGTCATTCTCTTAACTTTTATCATCCAAGTGATATAAGGAGACCTCAGGAAGGAATCTGGTTGAGCCCCTTACTCGAAGCAGGGCAACCTTACAGTCATTTGTGTTTGGTTCCTGTTAAATCTCAACACATGCACAGTATTTAAACACTGGGTGAAGAGATTCCATGTGTTTAAAGCACTGCAGGAAAGTTCTCTCTTGGTAGGTGGTAAACTTACATTGCAAACAGAGAAAGTTTAAGCCTGTTACTGTCCTGTCAGCAGTGAACACTCCCTCTTCTGTAGAAGTCTGAAGAAACTAGAGGTTTTGAGCACAAAATATCCACGTAAGCTCTGCTTTCCAGGCATCCAGTCACGCTCGTTCTGCTTCCTGACCCTTCGGAGATCTGGCTCGAGAGCCCTGCTCATGGGTACAAACTGCACGTAGAACAGTGGCTGCAGCGTGCTGTGGGATTGATTTCCTGTTCATCTGTAAACAATAGTCACTGGTACTCTTCATGGGTGACAGCACTTCAGACCTCTGCAGGAGCCCAAAGCTGTACTTTGGGATGTACCAGAAACTGTTAAACACTTCAAATGCAGGGGCAGGCATGGTCAACTCCCAGAGCCCTCTCAAATGCACTCACTGCTGTTTTGTCTACAGTAAGGACACAGTTTTCCACCTTTTTAGTTAGAAACCTTGGGACCAGCCAACTGAGAGGCTGCCTGGACAGCATCTGGCTTTGCAGGTCATGTGTTTCTCCATGTGGAAGCTGACAGGCTGATCCTGGTGCTCAGAGAAGACATGGTGCTTTCCAAGCTAGCCGTGGGATTCTGCAGGAGTCTCCAGGTAGCTTTAGTATGTCTTTCCATGAACTATCTGCTGTAATGATCTAATCTTGAGCAGGGGTTTCAGTGATGTTGTTCATGTCTAAAAGTCCACAGTTTGTAATCTGTTTCTAGTTGATTAGGTTACAGTTGTTGGAGATCCAAATAGCTTAGGGGAGGTTATATACCCTGGGAACTGATGGAAGATGGTCATTAAAGGAAGTGACCGACAGCCTGTCCTTGCACCAGTTACAATTCCAATCCAGTTAGGTGTAAGCTGAGGTGCTAAAAAGAATCAGTGTGATGGGGGCAAAGTCTGGCATTGACCTGCTGTACCTGGAGCTTAGTGCTCCTCGTGAGCTTGTGTTGCACAGAGGTGGAGATGGCTTGGAGCAGTAACTGCTGCTTGGTGAGGGAACCACTTACATACAGGTTTTCATCTCTGAGAACAGGACTCTTGATTAGTAGCCCTACCCACAACTGCCAGCACTCTTACTAAGTTAGTAACAGTGTAGTAGGCTGGGGATGCTCAGCACTAGGGTTGGGTGCATCCACGTCTTTGCTGCCCTTTTTTGGGGGAAGTTGTGGTGCCCCCTGTTCCCTGTCATCCCTGTAACAGGGCTGTCTGTCTGTGCTTAGATCTTCCCAACTGTGCAGTGGCAGCTGGCTGGCACGTCACCACAGACTGTGACATGGGAGGTGGTTGTGAAAGGTCTGTTGAGGATGTAATTTGTAAAGGCACTGCAGGAGATGTGGCATGTCCTGGCAGAGAGGTTGAGTACTTCTGTGGTAACGTGGTAGAAGCAATTGATGCAACTCCAACACAGAATTCTTCTGTTGGCAGAAAACACGCATCACACCAGTACGTGCTGGTACTTACCTGAACTGGCAAAGCCTCGAGAAGACAGAAAACAACTAGACTAGTAAACTTGATGAGCTTTTATAACTCGTGGCTGAAATGTCAGGCTGTTGTAAGTCAGTGTCTGATGTAGCTATACTGCCTATTTTCCTGCACTCACAATCCAGTAAGTCTCACCTCTTCCTCTTTAATGGCTCAAATTAATTTATACTTCTACCTGGTAGATGCCACACAGTCAGGTGCAGCTTTTTTTTCCACTCTTGATGTGTAACATCACTGGTTAGTACCTGCTCAAGTGTTCTGATAGCAGGGACTCAGTCAAGCCTCAGCAGGCACTGAGGTTTTGGATTTATCACTAAAAGTTTGCTTTGTAGTCAGTGGATGTTAATCATAGAACCAGTGGCATGGAGTAGAGAGAGAATTTCAATAGGAAGCTCTTGTTGTTGGTAAAATTTTATCTGTGTAATAAATATATGAAACCAAAGGTGCAAATTTGAGCTCTGAAGCCTTCTAAGATTTTTTTTTTTTCCCCTCCCCTGGTGCCTCAGGGACCTCTCCTGTGGTCTGTTGCAGTGGCAGCTGTCCCAAGCTGAATGGTTATGTAGGACAGGGGCTGGGGAGGGGGATATGGCAGCGCAGCACTGTGGGGGAGTCCTCCGTTTTGGACTAGGATTCTTCACTCCAGCTGGTCTGTGGTCTTTACCTTCACAGCTTGATGTAAACAAAACTGTTTATACAGGCTGCTGATAAAGTTGGCATTTGAGGCAGCAGATACGTGTGATAAGGAGATCCAGAGTTCTGGCAGTAACCTTTTCTTGTTATTTTTGGCAAGTATTACGAGTGTATTTTTTTTAATTGCATCAATCTTACCTTACACAATGCTGCAGTGGTGATGCGGGGCTAACAGTAATCTTTCTAATGCTCAAGTGCGATCCTTTGGGACTGAAGACCGGCCCACAGACAGACCTGCTCCTCCGAGAGAAGAGATCTATGAATACATTATCTTTCGAGGGAGTGACATCAAAGATATCACTGTCTGTGAACCTCCAAAAGCTCAACATACTCTGCCACAAGATCCTGCCATTGTTCAAGTAAGTTGGCCTGAAGTGTTGATAGAAAGCTATGATAAAACATTTATAATGAAAGACGTGATTTTGGTATAAACTTGTAAGAATGAAGGTCATTAAGTGTCTCCAGCAATCTTTGGACTGAACCATCCTGAATTTTAGAATCATAGAATGGTTTGGATTGGAAGGGACCTTAAAGCTCATCCAGTTCCAACCCCCCTGCCAGCAGCAGGGACACCTTCCACTAGACCAGGTTGCTCAAAGCCTCATCCAACCTGGCCTTCAACACTTCCAGGGAGGGGACATTACAACTTATTACAACTAATTTTGTTGTAATGGTTAAAATAGCAGCAGCATTAAAGACTTCAGTGAGCAAAAGGCATGGCTAACTTACCTGACTGAGAATGCAGGAAAATCAAAAAGAGATAATTACAACTAATTTTGTTGTAATGGTTAAAATAGCAGCAGTATTAAAGACTTCAGGCATAGCTAATTTACCTAACTGAGAATGCAGGAAAATCAAAAAGAGATAAATTCACCCTTCTTGATATTTACTTAAGGTTTATTTGTGCTGTACATGAAGTAGAGAATCGCTGCCAAAGCAAGGTGACTTCTGGACACTGTAAATGGAAATGTACTTTGTCTTGTTACAGTCTTCACTGGGCTCTGCCTCTACGTCATCCTTTCAGCCACACGTGCCTTACAGCCCGTTTAGAGGTATGCCACCTTACAGCCAGCTTGCTGCCAGCTCTTTACTTAGCCAGCAGTACGCAGCTTCCTTAGGTTTAGGTAAGTAAAAACTTTACTTGCTAGAATAAAGGTGCAATCCTTGTCTACAGCTACTGTGAAACCAAGTAACAGTAACTAATCCTGAATCCCTTGCCAGTGTGGGGCTGCAGCAAGCAGTGAATAAGTAGTTAACAACTTTGTGCAATGATCTTACCGCAAGGACGCCTGCATGTCACTTACACACACACAGACCTGAAAGAAAGAAACAAACTAAATAGCTAAAGGGTTTTTTCTGAAAGTAATGTGAATACCTAACAGTTGAGGCCAATTTGTTTCTGACCTAACATACCTTACACAGACATCACATGTAAAAAGAACTTGTGTTCCCAGAGAGGGCTGTAAATAAGCTGCTCTAATGCTACTCTAGAGATTCTTGTATCCTTTTCCAAGTCCTTCAGATGTTTCACTACCTTGTATCTTATCCATATATCTTTGCTTTCTCTTCTTCCCTCTATCTCTGTAGAGAAATTGGTAAGCCCTCCAGCATCAGCAGCTGCTTCCAGCCCTAGTTCTTCTCCGTCTCCACAACCTGTTTCAGAGCCTGACATGTCTTCAGAGCCCCATCAGCTCTCTTCCAAGGGTAACAGCAGTTTGAGGACTCCAAATATTTGGAAGAACTGCATGGCACTTGCAAACACTCTGTTCTTGTTAACCCCTCCTAGAACGATAGTGCTCATATGGGTAATGCTAGTAGAACTAGTGTGTTCTCAGCTATTTTTGCCTTTCATTACATGAAGTATTCCTCCTGTCCTAGAAGTATCAATTAGAGAGACAGGAGAAAGGAAAAGTACAGGACAGCGGATCCTCTTGTGTAAGTATCGGCAGAGGGCTGAGGTTTAGGGATGTTGATGTGCTACATCCTATCCAGGAACATGTGTCACCTTAGAGACTGGGTGAGGGATTAATTAGTCTCTCCTGGAAAGACTAGCACACTGCTTCAGTGGTGGGTGGCCTTGCTGTTAGAGACATGGGTCAACAGAAAATTGAGGAGTGTTGCTGTAACTGGGAATCAGGATAGTTTTCATGCATGATGGGCCATAGCACCTTGTCAAGACTCCCAGTGAGTAAAGCATGACTAACAGTAAGCGATTTCTGAGCTGTGGTGAACTGAGATAACAGTTCTGGGTGCTTGCTTCGTTGTGGAAAAACTTTTAAAGGAAGTTGAGTAGCGATACTAGACTGACCATCCTCAGAGCAGAGAGACCAGGTGCACCTGCATTTAAACATGGTAATTAGTTTCATCTGTTTTTTAACTTCAGCATGTGTGCTTGTGTTGGCATGGAACTTTTTACTTACTCTATTTTTGGCCATCTATCTGTGCATACTTTCTCAATATCCTGGCTAAGCTTTAAAACTCTCTCATGTTAAACTTGCACAGCAGCTTTGTCCTACTGAATAATCCTTAGGATATGTCTTGTCTTCCTTGCAAGTCTTCCAGGTGTACTTTAACTGAGAACCTGCATGATGTTACCTACTGGGTATATCTCATGTGGACTTGGGTGACCCAGAAGTGTCAGTGGCTTGGTTTGTGTGTACTCTTCAGCTTTTCACTTTTCTTGCTCTTAAAGTATATTCAGTTAAAAGTTTGCTTCCAAAGAGTTCTTACGCATAACCACATAAACCTGTAGTACTCCAAAACTTCTAATTAAATCTAGAATGCAGTGTTTCTTCTGAGTACTGAAGACTGTCACTTTTTAATATAATTGGTGTAAGGTATACCAAACCATGAAAAGTATTTACATGTTTTGTAGTGTGAATAAATAAGCCTGGATGGAAGAGCAACAGAAGTCTTGGTAACACTTTGGCCTTGACCATGAAGGAATTTAAAAGGGTAACTTTGAGATCCTGGTCTGGTTTGAGGTTTTCTTTGTCTGAAAGCTAACAATAAGCAGTAAAAGTTGAAGGACTTCTAAAAGTGACTTACAAAATGGGATATAGTTGAGGTGGTTAAGCTTTTGCTTCAAAAGTCTTTTGACAAAGTGGGGAAGATTTCTTGAGCAGTTTCAAAATGGTGGATTTTTACTTCAGATTTAAAGTATCATGTAAAGTAAAATCCTGTGTAACCAGGGATACACCTAGAGCTTGGATTTTGGTATAAACAGTCTAAAACTGACCTGGCTTGCTTATATAATGTGTGTCTAATTTGGTTTAAGAAATAAATGGGTACATTTCCTGATTTTAATGCTCTGGATTTGAGAGCCAAGGCCTTTATGGCAGCAGTGCCTTCCTTAGTATAAATGTCACTTAAACATAGTGTGTGTAATGATAAACACTGAAGGTTTTGAGTAATTCTTGACAAAAGGTTTCTCCGTAGAAGTGGGTAGGGTTTGAATAGTGTTGACACATTTTCTGGGAGGCGCTTAGTCATTGGGAATTTTTTTCCAGGTGCTGGTTTTCCTTCTGTTCACCCAGTCCGCAAAAGCCCCATGGTGGAGCAGGCTGTTCAGACCGGCCCAGTTGACAACATGAATTCACAAAAGCCACCCCCAGTGAAAGTAACTCCAGGGGTTCCTCGCAATGGACGGCAGGTTCCACAGGGCAGCAGCAAGATCAATGGTATGTGTGCAGCTTTCAAGCGCTGTTTTGAAGCATCCTTCAAAGGTGGATAGCAGGACTGGGTTGTTCAGGTTTGTTCTTGTGCTCCTTTATTAAATTTATCCTACTTGTTCAGTAGATACGGTTCAGGCAGCACCTGTGCAAACCCAAGGACAGGTGAATGATGAAAACAGAAGACCTCAAAGGAGAAGATCAGGTAGGTTGAGCTGACACTAAACAGTTGCTTAAGCTTATAAAGGCAAATATTGTTAATTTCAGTGAAGGATTGTCAGACAGAAGATTGAGAGCAAAATAAAGCTTGAGAAGGCTTTGGGCATCCAGAGATGCTTCAGTAACAGAATAGATGTTGGAGTCACGGAAGCTCAGAACATTCCAGGGACAGAATTCTAGTGCCTTTTCTAGAAACCTGAAGGTACGTTATAAAAACTGATGCTCTGTGTTGTCAGCAACAACTAGATTTCTCTGAAACCTCAAGTGTTTTTCCTGAGAAGAGCAGCCTGTTTTAAGAATTTCCAGAGCTCATAACTGAGAGGAACTATGGAGCCCTTGCTTCCATAGAGCAGAGTTCTTATCTCAAGATTCCAATTTAAGCACAGGTCAAAAGTGAAATTAAATTAAAAAAGATATTTCTGCCCAAGCAAAATAAGAAAAGGAAGAAAACAAAACTTCAGGCTCTCAGGTCTTCAGATTGACTTGCCTGAGAGTAGCACTGTAGAAGGGATTACAACTTCCAAAAAGGAGTTGATGGCTTCTCAGTTGGAAAGCAGAAACTATACAAAGTACAAGTTCCTCTGGTGGGCAGATGAGTCTTGGGTGGATTTTCTGAAACCAGTGACCTGTTCCTCTTTGCCCTCACGACAGGTTTGTAGACTGATGACAGTACCATGCTTGCAGATGAATAACAGACAGAAAAGATAACCTCAGCTTTTCTTGGTATAGTATTTGTTCCAGTTTCCTCTCCTCACTCTGGAGAGGAAGGGAAGTTGGATATACTCTGTCTTAATGGTAAGACTGACATCCAGGAATGCTTTTCAGAAAGTTAGTGTTGCTGTAATGTGTCTTCTACAGCCCAGGTCAGAAGCCACTTTCAAAGGTGTGGCCCAACCACAGGACTGGAAACCAGAAACTCCTGAGTTCTTACCCTAATGGTTTCCTCTGGTCTTGAGCAAATCATTTAACCTCCCTGCATGTTACCAAGTGTTTAAACTCTCCTGCTTTCAGGAAACAGGAGAACCAGAAACCGTTCTAGAGGACAAAACAGACCCACTACTGTGAAGGAAAATACAATAAAGTTTGAAGGTGACTTTGACTTTGAAAGTGCAAATGCACAATTCAACAGAGAGGAACTTGATAAAGAATTCAAGAAGAAACTAAACTTTAAAGGTTTGTGACTTCATTAAATATGAATTGCTGAGCTAGTAGTAAACACTGCATAGACAAACCTGCTCTGAGAAACTGCATGATTACATGTGGCAGCATCTCAAATCTTGTGTGAGGGAGCGAGAGAACAGATGGCCCTTCAGTAGGCATCAAAGAAGTGTAATATGTTTTATTATCTTCAGATGACAAAGCAGAGACGGGGGAAGAAAAAGGGGACCCTGGAGTGGCAACTCAAAACAATGACAGTAACGCAGAGGAGGACCTTCTGGGACCCAACTGCTACTATGATAAATCCAAGTCTTTCTTTGACAACATTTCTTCAGAACTGAAATCTAGGTGAGTGCTTTCTAAAAGCTTGGTGCTTTTAATGCAATTTTAGGCATAGAATTCTAGACACAATCTATGTCACATAATTTCAGTCTTTAAAAAAAATCTTAAAATGCAAGAAAGTCAGCAGGGACAGCCTTGAGAAGGGAGTAGTGTCCTGCATGTGATGGCTCATGAATGATATGAACCAAGCTCCGTGCAGTGGGATCAAACAAAAGCACGGATTTCAGCTGATGCTGATACACTTGCCTAAACTATGATACAGGAATTTCCAGTTCTGTTTCCCAGGTCTGACTTTGAACCCATTGATTTATTTTAAAACAAATTTCTTATCTCATTTGTGGGAGGAGGCATCAGGGTCATGCTGTGCTGAAGATGGTGCAACTTTGCAGACAGGAGTAAGCTAAGCTTGGAGTTTGGGCAGAGAGGAGGTTGGGTCTGTCTGTGGAAATGCCTTAAATTAAATACTGGGAATATTAAAATAAATCTTTTGCTGCTGAGGCTGGTGTTACCCACTGCCTGGTGAAGTCACACAGCGCTTGAGTGTCCGTGTGTGAAATTCCCTTGGTGATAATTCTGCTTGCCTTTAGCAAGGGACACAGGGGTGCTGTGGAGCTACCTCAGCAGCAGGCTGCTGCACCTCAGTTGTGACAGGGCTTCCCAGGTTTCTGCAGAGGCTTTTCTGCAGTCAACAGTTTGTAGTTGTCAAGAAAACTAAACAGGGTTTGAAATCCTATTAATCAGACCATGTTCAGCCCTTTTCTAGGCCTGTCTTGAGTTTTCCAGTGTGAAAGTACCTTACCAAAGCCAACAGCTGTCACTCTCAAGCCCATGCTTAGCAGAGGGATTGAGTTAGTGAGCATGTGTCTGCTGCAGCTGGTTCTCCATGCAGTTTAGTTCAACAAAACAGGGTGCTGGAAGCTTCCTAGCTGCAGGAGTTGGTGGCTGTTTAACATTTCTATCAAATCTGACTGCAGTCTCGTTCAGTTCTAGGCGCACCACGTGGGCTGAAGAAAGGAAGCTCAATACAGAGACGTTTGGAGTGTCTGGACGGTTCCTTCGCGGCCGCAGCTTTCGTGGTGGATTTCGGGGTGGAAGGGGTAGCGGAGCAGCAAGGAGAAACCAAACCACTCACAGAGCTGGTACAGGCAGAGTGTAACTTCAGAGGCAAGTCTTTTAGCAACAATAAATACTGTCTGAGCCAGGCTTGACTTTTATTCCTTGGCTAAACTGTCTGTGTAACCTCTTTTGCTCTCCAGTCTCATGGATATATGGAGAATTGTTCTTATTGCATCTGATCCTTCTAAGTGGTAGAAGGAAACGTGAGCAGTTGTGACGTGTTCTTTATCATGTTGATAGTCCTGGTGATTTCTTGGGCTGGCCTTCTGTCTGAGAAAGCAAGAGCTGCTGCTTTTGAGCTGAGGCCCTAGCTAAGCATTTCATTTGACGTATGGGTGTGAACTTTGCTGCTTTTCTTTTTCTTGGGAGAAGATCCCCGAGATAGCAAATCTAATTCTGCCTTTTTTTGTCTGAATAGGTTCTGAGGTCTCTCCTGAGAGTACGAAACTGTATATAGAAAGAAAACAACCAACTGCTGCACTAATGTGGGAAAATGGTTCATATTGTTTACTGTCTCAGCTCAAGTGACAGAACTTCATGTACTACTGCTTATATTCTGGACTTATTTTGGACCAGCATCTGTCAGCTGGAGTGTTCTTTGGAAGAGGGAATGTGTTCAGGGGTACCTTCTTCAGGGTGTCTTTTTTGTTTTGTGTTTGTTTTCTTTTAAGTGCAGACTAACTTACATGGTTCTTCTTTCTGGGTCTCTCAAAGGCTGCTGTAGTCTAAGTGTAAAGTCAGACTCCTTTTCTGAACCCTGAAGAAGACAAATCATGCTATTTTAACATGGAACCAAAGCTCACTTGAAACAAACCAGCTATAATTTGTTTGTTCTGAGTAACCAAATGGATTCTTTGGTGCTGCTGGTCTCGCTGTTCTCAGCAGCAGGTGTGAAGTAGCACTTGGTATCTGGAAGGATGGATTCCTGGTGCTGAGGAGTTGTGTATATTGTCACTTGGGAATACTGGATTGTTGATCATGTAGTAGTGTCAATGACTGTACGACTGCTTGTCGGCTGGTACTAAATGTGGAGGTACTACAGGTTTACAAAGAACCATGACTCTCCCTTGAGCTGAAGGGTGCTGGGTGCTCCTCAGAGGCTTGGAGCTCCTTAGTGGGTCAGGGCAGCGTGGGGGGACAGTGTGCTGTGCCCTCAGCGGGACAGGAGCAGTGAGTGTCTCTGCTCCTGTGCTCAGAATGAAGAGGTTTTTGGCAGTAGGTGACTGTCTGGAGGAGATCTGAAGCTCTGACTCCTTGGATCAGTTTGTACCTCACTCATGGGTAGTACCAAACACCAGCAGTTCTCTGTACACTAGTAGCCTGTGGTGGAACACTATGGAATGTTTTCATTAAACTAGGGGATTGGGAGTCCATATCATGAAGCTTAACAGATGGGCATGTTTAATTTGTTTCCTCTGTACCCCCCATACTGTAAATAGTTTAGTTGTTTTTCTTTTGTTTTTTAAAAAAAAAAAAAAGCTGTATGTGGGGAGAGGGGCTGGGAGGGGGGTTACATTTGTTTGCATGAATAAGTGGGTTAAATTGCTATAGGCATGTGTCCCCTTTTTCTTTTGGTTGGTAGGGAATTTTGTTGAAAAAGCACCTTGATGACCGAACCCCTTACATAGCTAGAAATTTTTTTAGTTATGCCTTGACCTAGGTTACTGTAAAAGCTTGGATTTATTTTTGTAGGACTTTATTGCTAAGAATTAGAACATAGCAGTGGGGCTGCTCTTTGGAGTAATGTAAATTGTAATTATAATAAACATGTAAATGTTTAATGTTTCCTTCCTGTTTTGTTCTGGACGTAGCTCAGTAACATCAGTCCCTTCCTAGCAGGGCTCAGCTCTAAGCTGTGCTGCAGAGTTCTGGTGGAAGCATTGCAGAGTCTCTGAAATGGGGTTAGAAACCCCAATCCAGGCACTGACCCCCTCGTTCCTCTGCTCCAGCGCTTGGTGAGGAACCGGCCTAAGGAGCGTTGCTGTTTCCTAACAGCCCTGAGCTCACAGCTCTCCCAGTGCCTGCCAGGGCAGCCCCAGTCCCTGGGCTGGTGGGGCTTCACCAGAGCTTGTTTTGGGTGGCCACGCTGCTGGTTTAGTAGCCACAAATGCCATTGGTATCTGGGCTGGTACCGGCACAACAGGGTGTGAGCTGGAACCGCCTCCTTGGTGGCTGCTCTGAGTCTCTAACTCTGCTGGTGTGATGTTGGGTGTAAAGAGGGAATTGCAGAGCCAGAGCCAACCGGCCTGTCTGAGGTGGCTGCAGTAAAAAGATAAACTCATTGACCCCTGTGTGACCACAGCTTTTTATTTGTTTGTAAGGCAGAAATTCCCCTGGTTCCTGCAGTAAAGCCTCGGATGTAATTCCTGGGACAGTCGCTGTTAGTGACAGTGTCACTGTTAGTGACAGTGCTGCGGTCGCTGGGCTGTGGGTGTGTCCCAGCCTCTCCCAGCTGGGCACCCTACCTGGCTCATTCTGGGGTGTGGGAGCAGGGCCAGGGGACACGTGGCTGTGGCTCAGCCCCTGGGCTCGTTACCTGCCAGCCCTGCTCCCCCAGGAACGAGCTCCCTCAGCTTCCAGGTGGAAGATTCCCAAGATGAGGAATGAGGCTGGTGCCTTGTGCAGGAAACCAGCAGCTCTTCCAACTGGTACGTTCACTCCAGGGACTGAGCAATGGAACAGCGTGGTGGTATTCCAGCCCCTCACCTCCTCCAGCTGATGTGCTCCAGTGCTTTCCTGAGCAGGAGAAGGAAGCGCTGCAGCTTTCCTGGCCTTGATTCCTCTGTGACACTCAGCCCACACTCTGCTTTGCAGCGTTTAGCTTTAGTTGTGATGTGAGAGGCCAGGGAGTGTGTGAGTATCCACTGCCTGGAGTGCTCTGAGGGTTGGTGGAGCAGCTTTCCCAGGGCCCCTGGGGGTGGGATGTCCTGGGGCAGGGGCTGCTCTAGCTGAGCTCCCTCCTGCAGGGTCCTGGGCTGCTGCCAGTCCTGCTGTACAGCTGAGAAACCATCTGCTGGGTGTCAGTAAGGGACTGCAGAGCTGCCTGCCAGGGCTTGTGCTGTCCTACCCAGGGACACTTACCACTAAGTGCCACCACTTGCTATTGTGGGCAGGTAGGAGCCTTGCAGGGAAGAGCTGCAGAGGGGGAGAGGCCTGAGGTGTCTCTGAAATGGGGAAGGACACAGGGCAGCATAACTGGTGAGCTGGGGAAGTGACCAACCTTCCCCTTCCCTGAAGGCTGGGGGTACAGGTGTCCTTGGAGTACAGACAAGATGGACATTACCTGCTACGGTGCTTCTAACCTAAAGGTTGTATTGAAAGGGAAACAAAACCTGAGGAACAAAAGAAAATAAAGGATAATTTTAAACATAGAGACAGGGAAGAGGAAGGGGCTGGTGTCCATCCTGTACCCCCCATACAGCAGGAAGGACAAGAGGCCCACACTGCTCTGCAGCACGGGCTGGAGTCACCAGAGACCTGTCCTGCTCAGCCTCCTCACAGCACAGAGATGGTGACAGGTCTGTCAGCTGGGAAGAGCTTCTCAATGGCCAGAATGGGACAGGGGAGATGCCACAATGCAAACACCCATCTGAAATAAAATCCCCTGGTCCCAGTCCCACCCCTTTGGGCTCGTTTTAAATCATCTGAGTAAAGAGTTGTCACCTGGCACCTTCAGATGTACGTATTTCTAGGTTATTACATGATAGATGTTAATGTCTGTGGGGAGGAGAAGCACAGACCAGATCCTGCCTCTTGAGAGCAAAGTGACTCTGCTGCAGAGGCTGCTCTCTACATCCCTTACAGCATCTGAGTGACCTCCTGCTGCTGAAGGGATGAGAGAACTCAGGCTCAACCAGAAACTGAGTCAAACCCAACTCCTGCTGGTAAGATGTACAAAGTAACTCTCTAGTCCAGTTTCTCCTGTAGTATTTAAGGTTTAACTGTTGTGTGTAACGTTCTCTGTGGTTATTTTTAGCATTAGGAAGTAACTGGTGTATCAATCCCCCAGTGGGCAATCACAACAGCAACGCTTTATTCTGAAGCAGATGAATCATGCAAGGTTGATGGAAGCACCACGTCACACCCCTCTGCTGTGCTGAGATACCTGCACCAGCCCCTTCTCCTGCTGATCTCCCAAAACCACCAACCCTTGAGGCAGCTACTTAAAAAATCCCCAAAAAAACAAAAGTGGGGGGATGAACAATGGAGACTGTGGAAAAAGTATTGTCTGAGGAAAACAAAATGCAAAGTCTTTGTGCTTTAATGGGTCACTACTGCTGTAACCAACTAATCCTGGGTAATGAAAATCCAAAGAGCAGAAATACTTTTTTCTAAAATAACAGCTTAAAAAAAAAAGAATCAGTAGGTTTATTGTAGGTCTCCCGAGGGGCACAGTATCAGTGGAATGCCTACATGGTGTCTATACAGAATAACCCAGCACTTGAATTAAAAAGCAGCAGCTAAGCAGTTGAATTTCATTCATCATGATGTTTTCTTCTGTTTTTTCTTTTCATTTTCTTCCTTTTCTTTTTCAATTTCAGCAACATACTTCTCAATTTCTTCAGGGTTTAGGATCTAAAACAGAAACACCAGTGACCCTCGAGATACTAATACAACTTCAAGGCTTTTATTTAAGCAATTCTAGTTCTGCCATGGGAAGTGAACTGGTATTTATCCAGACACAGGTACCTTGTGCAGACACAACAACATTCCTTGGCCACTAATAGAAAACAGAAGTGTTTGCCAGGGCAGGAGGAGAGATTAGGGGCTGGATGTTAATGCAGATCACCAAGGACAGTATCAGCAAAACCAGCTACAGAGGGAGGAGAGCAAAACAAGGCCCTTACCTTCAGCGGCTGCTCTCGCCTCATCACCGCCAGCTCGATGTTCTTCCCACCAGACTGCACAACCTGAACAAGAGTCAGACATGGGTATTAGGAGTGGGTCTGGCCATTAATTCCAACAACCCCCTTTCAAGTCATCCTAGAAGAACAGGTATGGATGGGAATTATTTCACTCATTAGAAGGAGAACAGGTATGGATGGGAATTATTTCACTCATGAGCTCTACACTCTCAACCCCAGTAGCTGTGCAACTCAAGGGTCTCCATTCTGCACCAGTGCACTCCCTGGCTGGTGAAGAACCCTCACCTTCACCATCTGACTTTCTCTATTTTCTGTATCTCAAACTTAATGGCAGAAGTAAAATATTCTGCGTATGGTTTAGCACATCTTGGGTGCATTTGGTGTAATGCCCAGAACTGAGTCAGTTTTCCTCCCCAGAGACCCACTTGTAAGTTCTTCTGTGTAAGCACAGAAACTGTTACCTGAAATGTTCTGAACCCTGAATTTCTTCCCACACCTGTGGCCTACAAGAACAGTTCTCACAAATCCTTTTCCAGTACTTTCCTGGGACATGCACGAAGATTAGGAGACTGAGGGGAGACCTCATTAATGTTTATAAATATATTAAGGGCGAATGTCAGGAGGATGGAGCCAGGCTCTTCTCAGTGATGCCCAATGGTAGGACAAGGGGCAATGGGTGTGAGCTGGAACACAGGAGGTTCTGCTTCAACTTGAGAAAAAACTACTTTACAGTGAGGGTTACAGAGCCCTGGAACAGGCTGCCCAGGGAGGGTGTGGAGTCTCCTTCTCTGGAGACATTCAAAACCTGCCTGGACGCCTTCCTGTGTGATCTCATTTAGGTTCCTGCTCTGGCAGGGGGATTGGACTGGATGATCTTTTGAGGTCCCTTCTAATCCCTAATATTCTGTGATTCTGTGATTTTTTCAGACTCATGTTGAAGTTAATCTGGACAGACAGTGAATTCACACCAGGGATTTGAAACACTCACCTCAAGAAGAGCCTTGATGACAAGTTTAATAGTTAGATCATCTGTTTCAATGGCTTCATCGGTGTAATTCTTCTCCAGGAATTCACGCACAGATTTGGCTCCTCTGCCAATGGCATTAGCCTGGAAACATTGAGGGGAAACAAGGTAAAAAATGGAAGTTTAGAAAAGGTTCATTTA